ATACACATGCACTCAATAAGTAAATGTAAAAATAATTTTTAAAAGAACTGAGTTTATAGTTTGACATTGACATTGAAAGTTCCATCTTTCCTTTCGGGTCTGGCTTTGAGTTGGATTGTTTTATTTCAGTTGGTTTTAAACTGCAAGGTATTTTGTACAGACATCTTGATGCCCCAGGACCAGAGTGTGTGATAGAGGGAAAGATGGAATGTTAGAGCACCTGAAAATAGAGAGTTTAGATTGGTATATTCTTATTGAATCAGAAATTTTTCTTTCTATCTTTGGCTTCTATATAAGATGCTTGAGAAAAGTGCACTAGTTAGGAAAGGACAGTCTGAACTTGCTGTGTTATCTATAGATGAATTTTGAGGAAAATCTCCAGGCTACAGTTACAGGAGATTGGAGTAGGCTGTGTAACCTCCAAATTTGTATGCAACTAAAAGCTAGTCCCATGATTTTGTTACTTACTGCCTTTTATGTTGGGATGGTTTATTTTATCTATCAGAGTCAAATTTCACTAACCTTGTTCCTCAAAACTTAGGACGTTCTGAGGTATTATCGACAAAAGAGGGAAATGGGCAGATGACTCAGCTTTTAGTGATATTGAATGCAGGTGACAGATGGTGAACATTAGACTGCAAATTAAAACAATGAAAACTTCTTTAACTTATACCACATGAATTTCTCTCATTTTCATTCTTTGCTAATAGTTCTGTGTTACAGGGTCTTTGTACATAGCTCACACTGGCCTTGAACTCATAATCTTCTTGCCTTGTCCTAAGTGTTGAGATTCTTAAGCATGTACCGCCACACCTGGCTTGTCACATGGAGTTCTGACATATAGGCTACTCTTAGCCTATGTTCATTTTTTTCTAACATTTTTTTTTCTTTTGCCTTTTGATCATTTGTAGAAATACATATCTATTATGTACATCAGATAATCAGAAGTAGGGGAGCCCAGAGGTAGATTTCATAAATGTTTCTTAGGGCTGCAGATCAGAATTACTTCTAAAACCTTCAGAAAATATTCATGAACATTCACGAATAAGAGCAAGGTACAGCATAGTATATATGTAGTATGCTGTCGTTATGTGATGTGATTATATGTGCATATGATGTTTGTAAAGGACACTGCTTTTGGTTGCTTTCCGGATGACAGCTAGGTAGCACATGGAGAAAAAGGATGTAAAATAGATTTGTGAATTTTGTAATCTTTGATACTTTTAAAAGCGTCTGTGTTAGATCTATTTTACTTATTTCTAAAATCACAAACCGCTAACCCTCTTTCTCCACCCAACAACCTACTAACTGTTGGTGCTTATCCTTCATCTGAATGAGCGCAGGTATGGAAATGAGGGCATGGTCCTGAGCGGTCTGAGTGCCTGCTTGTACTAAATATCTGCCTTGATATTAGCCAAAAGGCCACTGTAGAGGACAGCAGCTTCCGCTGTTGCCATGATGATTTTTGCTGCAGGAGCTGCTAAAATCTGTTCCTCTCATCTACCCGATTGTTAGTTGGGTGACCTCAGAACCTCCCACCCTCATGGTTGGTGACTTGTGCAGCTTTGGTCTTGGAGGAAACAGGCAGAAGCAGCAGCTAGTCAGCGCTTTTAACCCTGTACAACAGAAATGAAGTGAGTAGTAAGGGTAGTATGGTCATTTAAAGTACACAGCCTTTACATAGTTATATAGGTGATTTTTTTTTAAGTTTTTCCTCAAAATTGTTTTCAAGTTAGATTGAATGTCACTTCTCTGGAAAATGTTATTTTCTAAGCCTAATTCGGTAAAGACTGGAAAAAAAAAAAAGATGAAATAGGTTTGCTCACTATCCTCCCTCCATTATCTTTGCCTGAAAGTACAAAACCCTGGATTTGATCCCATCATGGAGGGGAACAACAACAAAGCTAGAGTAGAAAACAAAAATATCTAGTGGCCTGGGGGTGGACATTGGTTGGTAGAGTGGCAGCCTGGCACCGTAGGGTCAGCTACATAGCCAGGTCCGGGCTGTGCTGGGTGACATGAAACCCTGTCTTACTGTAAAAACCAAAATATGGCCGTTGTAGCTCATGTCTATGATCCTAGTACTCAGGGAGGCAGAGGCCAGCCGATTGCTGTTACTTCAAAGCCAGCCTGGTCTATAAAGCAAGTCTGGGACAGCCAGGGCTACACAGAAACTGTCTATGAAAAACCTAAAAAAATCCAAAGCCAGTGTGGTTTGGGGTTCACAAATATTAAATGGGGAGAGGGATAATGGATGTGTGTGTGTGTGTGTGTGTGTGTGTGTGTGTGTGTGTATCTAAAATATTAAATTAAATACACATGTGTATATATGTGTATATATTTTTATTTACTCTTAACACTTAGGGATAATTTTTTTCTTTTGGTTTTTCGAGACAGTGTTTCTTTGTATAGCTCTGGCTGTCCTGGACTTGCTCTGTAGACCAGGCTGCCCTGAAACTCAAGCGATCCACCTACCTCTGCCTCCTCAGTGCTATGATTTAAGGCATGTGCCACCGCCACCTGGCAAGTATTTCTATCTTAATTATGCTCATTCTTGGAACATAAACCTGTAATTATGTGCCAGGAAGGGAATATCTATACAGTAGTAGAAAGATCAAGATACCTCTCTTTATTTAGTCTATGAATTCAGTATTTACATGTTGTCTTCTAGAGGGTTTTTCTTTTTTTTGAGGCAGAGTCTTCTTAATTATTGCTCAGGCTGGCCTTGAACTTGTTCTCTATCCCAGACAGGCCTCTCCTGCCTCTCAGCCTCTTGAGGAGCTGGGATTATAAGCCTGTGTTTCAAGACCTGGCTTCATCCAGAGTTTTTATTGGACCTGAAAAAATGACTCCAGTACTTGAGTGAAAGACAAAATGTGCTATATGCAGAAGGCAAAGAGAAGCAACTACAAAACACAGTGAAGGGAAATTTGTTCCACCAAACATAAAAAAAAAAGTCACTATGCCATCCTGTTTCAAAAAGGGTCTGGGCTTGTGATAGGGCTTAGCTTTAAAGCACAGTGCTTGCCCTACAGGCCTGAGGACTTGAGTTTGACCTCTGAAACCCATGTAAAGGCAGAAGGAGAGCAGTGACTGCACAGATTGGGGGGGGCAGTCTGTGGAGTCACTCTCTCCGGTAGCATTATGTATACTGTCAATGTGTGTGCACACATTATTATTATCCCTAAGTGGGTGCTTTTTAAATTACATGTGTATTATAAATATTTTGTTTGTAATATATGCTCATTTTCGAGGAAATGTCAACATTTGTGAGTTGTGTCTGTTCTGAATTGTGTGTTCTGAATTGTGTAGCTGTAGCTACTGTAACTATAGTTTTTTGTTATGTACAGCATAGGCTATTGACTAGAGTTAAATGTTTCTGAAACTTGTCTTATTGTGGTGCCATAGTAAATGCCTTGTAGGGTATTCACTTGATTACTGAAGAGTAACAAAAATGGCATTTTATTCAAGTATTTTTATTTTTTATTTTTTTATTCAAGTGTTTTATTGGGACAATTAAATGTCAATTAGGAAAGAAAACACAGTTATGCCTGTTTTTTTGTTTTGTTTTGTTTTGTTTTTGGGAAAAGAAAACCTATGAGTATTTCAGAAGATAGATGTTAAAAATAAACCCTAGTACTTGAATTTTTTAGAATGTAGGAATGGAGAAAATCTTTCAAAAATTGAAATAAGCTGGCTGTGTTGGCACAAGCCTTTAATCCCAGCACTCAGGAGACAGAAATAGGTGGATCTCTGTGAGTTCGAGGCAATTGTGGACTACAAAGTGAGTCCAGGACTGCCAAAGCTACATAAAGAAACCCTTTCTTGAAAAACAAATAAACAACAACAAAAAAGTTGAAACAACTATTCCAGAACAAATAGTTGTCACATAAAGATGGATGTGATTAATATTTAGTATGTATCTGTGTATGTGTCTATATATGTCTATATATGTATATATTCATATATACATATAGACACATACCATATATATATACACATACATACACACTCACATACAACTACATAATATACCGTATACATATATGTACATATATTTCCAGACAACCTGCCAAACCTACTTGTTTACTTTGCTCTCTCTTATCTTCGTCGTCTCTGTCCCACACTCCCTCTGTCTTCTTCGGTCTCCTTGACTTTGCCAAGTTTGCTTTTGCCTTGGGCTTATGTAATTCCATTTATGTAGACTGGGGCTGTTTTAGAAACTAGGGCATTTGACATTCTAGCTGAGACTGTCTTTCTATGATCATTCTTGCCTATCCTGTTCACCTATTTATTCTCTTATTTACAGCATTTTCTTATAAATATGATAGTATTTTCTACTTTGCAAAGATTGCTTCTTACTGTCTTGTTTCCCCTCATAGTAATGTAATATGCCTTGGCCATTCTGTGCTAGGGATTAGAGCAGTATATGTGTATAGAGGTGTGTAGAAAATATGGCATTTTACTTTTACTTTTAAAATTTTATTATGACAACAGTATAGGTATGTAGAATGTTAACATAGAAATATTATACAGAAATCATACATAAAAATGTGAATATATTTAATGCTACTGAACAGTTTCATGTTTTATCATAGTTAGAAAACAACAATTACCCTCTCTATATACCCTTGTTATTTTATTATCAGTTTATAGACATGACATTTAGGTTGTTTCTAAGGTCATAGTAAAAATCTTAGTCTGAATTAAGTAAAGGAGAGCTTTTAATTAAGACAAGGAAAGTCAGATGCTTCTCATGGACATTTACCCAGGAAAGAAAAAGCAAAGCACTGTCTTAGGGGCTACAGTATCTTCTGTAGCTACCATAGTCTGTATAAAGGAAAAGATAACATTGTTTATCAAACTTTAAAACTTCTTTTAAGTAAATATAAGAGAGCTTTGACTGGCAATTGTGGTTTTGTTTGTATAGCTACAGTTATAATTTATTAGAATACTTCATGTTTTAGTACTTAAGAATTCTCTTTTTCTGTCCTGTGTAGGTTGTTTCCTAGAAACATGGTTGTTTGCTGGAGTTGACTCACCCAGTGAGGACGTCTTTACTGATAATGTCAAGTTCAGGTTACCCTCCCAATCAAGGAGCTTTCAGCACAGAGCAAAGTCGTTATCCTTCACATTCTGTCCAGTATACCTTTTCCAGCACTCGACACCAGCAGGTAAGGCATAGTAGCTGTCAAGAGGTATATATACATTGTGTTTTTCCTGTGTAATAGATTTATTATTAAGGGATTGTGCTTCTTACAATTTTTTTTTTTTTTTAAATGGCAAGAATCATTCACAGCCAGGTGTAAAACATGCCTATAATTCCAGTACTTGAATATCAAGGGCTGGAGGATGGGAGGGAGTTCAAGGACCCCCCCCCCCCCCGGCTGTGTAGCATGTTTGAAGCCAGCCAGGGGTAAATTAGACTCCATCTAAAAAATATACATTATATATATATAAATATATTATATATATATATAAATATATTTAATATATATACATACATCCCCAAAAATTATTTTTTATACACATAGACACACACATACATCCATTCATCCATTTATGAGGAGCTGAAGTTTGAGAATTAGTTATTTGTCTTTTTCTTACTGTGGGTTTCTGTTAGATTCCAGAGATTAAATGTCTTTCTTAAATTATTTTTACATTTATTTATTTTTGTGTATGCACATGACTGTAGTCAGTTATCTCTTGCTCCCATGTGGGTTCCAAGGATTGATTTTAGGTTGTCAGGCTTGGCTGTAAGCGCCTTCATCTGCTGAACTGTCTCACCAGCCTATCTCTCTGATTGTGATTGTAGAAATTATTCACAGGAGAGAATGAATTGTCTCCAATTTCTAGGATAACAACCATATTTATATTCTATGTTCTGGTTGAATTTTAAGTTGGCTAGATATTTGGCTTCTCCTTACTTTTAGAATAAACACCTCTACCTCAATGAGAGATTTGATGGTAGAAAGGTAAGAAAGTTTTTGTGAGTAAAAACTTTTTGAAAATGAAATATGAGGTGAAACTGCCAGCTTAATAGAGAAAGGCTAGCAATGTAAGAGATATAAAGAAGACTATAAAAGAAATGTTGGGTGTGGTGGCATTTGGCTGTAGCCCTAGAACTCAGCAAGCAGGTGTATTTCAGGTTCAAGGCCAGTCTGGAATACATACATAGACAGACTCTGTCCCCAAAATAAACAGAATAAGGAAAGGAAGAAATGTGTCTTAGAGTTTCTATTGCTAAGTTAAAACACCATGACCATAAGTAACTTGATGAAGAAAGAGCTTTTTGTTGTTGTTATGTACTTGCTTTTGTTTTTTGTTTGTTTTGTTTTAGTTTTTGAGACAGGGTTTCTCTGTGTAGCTTTGGATGTCTGGAACTCACTCTGTAGACCAGGTTTGCCTCTAACTTAGAGATCTACCTGCCTCTTCCTCCCAAGTGCTGGGACTACAGGTGTGTGCCACCACCACCATTGGCTGGAGAAAGTTTATTTCATCTTAACAATTCTCAGGTCATACTCCATCATTGAGGAAAGGGTGGGCAGAAACCTGGAAGCAGGAGCTGAAGCAGAGGCCATGAAGGAAGGCTCCTTCCAAGTGTGTTTCTTAAGGTTTGCTTGGCTTGCTTCTTTATACACCCCAGGACTGCCTGCCCAGGTGTGATATTGCCACAGGAAGCCGAACCTTTCACATCTGTCATCAATTAAGACAATGTCCATAGGTCAGTTTGTTGGGGCATTTTCTCAATTGAGGTTTACTCCCAGTAAGTCTAACTTGTGTCAAGTTGACATAAAACTTGACGGCACAAAATGAAATGATCATCTTGGAGGATAAAAAAGGAGATTTTTCAGTCAAAATACTGTAGTATTTCTGAAGACTCCTTTGAAATATAGTTCTGCTTTGGAGTGAGAATGGGTATCCATATGTCTCTGCAGAAACGTAATTCACTTGCATGTTTCTGTTGTTGCTATTTTGGCTGAACTTGCTTTCTGTTGATTGAGTGTTTAGGCTTTATTTTTTCCTGCCCCAATGCTATTCATATGATTCCTGATTTTCTGGATTATTGTTCTGCTTTGCTATGTTTGTTCATATTACTGTGTATGTTTCTGTGTGCTATAGTACACTTTTGGAGGTCGGAGGACAACTTGAAGGAGTGGGTTCCCTTATTGTTCTTTGATCAGAAATTGTTTTAGCTTAGCCTTGTGACTTTTCACTCTGCAGAGATTGATGGGAATAAAAAAATCATGTTTAATTTTTTTTTTTTTTTTTTTTTTTTTTTTTTTTTTTTTTTTTTTTTTTTACATGTAACTCTCTCCTCTCTAGGAAGTCTTTAGAAATTCTGACTTCTCCAAACCTTTATCACTGTGTCCTCAGTAACTGTGATTATTAGGCCCTGTTTGAATACCCAGGACTATAAACTTTAAAATTGATCTGAGTAGGAAGCCTACAAGTAATTAAAATTTTCTCAGAGGTAACCTCTTGTATGGCCTGTTGCCCACAGTCTGAAATTAGTTTCTTTGATTTTCTTCTTTTAATTTTTTGAGTCAGGATCTATCTGTGTAGCTTTGAACTCCTCATATAGCTCAGGTTGAGTGCTGGGATTCTAGACATACACTATTGTGCCCAGTGACAGTCTGCCATTTGACTTTTCTAAAGTTTCCCCAAATCCCGTCCCCTCCATGAGACAGTCTAGACAATGGAAGCTGCTGTGCGTTGTTGCATCATCCTCTTTTTTCCCCATTCTTTTTTGATTGATTCATTTTGCTGAATGTGTCTTTCAGGACTCAGACTATGGCTTAGTGACACACTGGGTTAAATCTCTGCCATCATCTATACAAAACAAAACCCCAAAATCTTTCAGAGAGTGTCAGTGGCTAATGTGTTTCCAAATTCTTGAATTCTGAAAATGTCATCATCCTAAACTTGAATAAATGATGATGTTGTTACTGAACTTGAAAATTCTCCTTGGAACCTGCTCTGTGCTGTTGCTTGTTTGTATCTGTTTGTGTTTGCCAATGAGAAGTCTGTTCTTATCTTTATTTGTAGGAAACCTATGGTGAGTTTTTTTGAAACCTGTATAAATCTTTTCTTTATTGTTGGTTTCCTGCATTAAAAAATTAAAATTGCAGGGTTGGAGAGATGGCTCAGTGCCTGTTCTTCTGCCTGTTCTTCCAGAGGACCTGGGTTTAATTCTTAGCGTCACGTGGCAGCTCACAACTGTCTGTAATGCCAATTCCAAGGCATCTGACATTTCCACACTAATGCACATAAAATAAAATAAAAGTATTAAAATTTATTTATTTATATATGTGTTTGTGCTCACAAGTACCATAGTACATATGTGGAAGTCAGACAACTTGGAGGTGATTCTCTCCTTTTACCATGTGGGTTTCAGGGATCGAACATAGGTTTTTCAAACCTGGTAGCAGGGACTTCTACCTGCTGAGCCATCATACCAGCTCTCTGTTTTTAATGTATTGACTGTGAACTAAGTTTTAAAATATAACCTGTTTTTCTCCTTGGTTCTTTTAAATCTAAGGGTTGTCATTTCTTGCTTGAGAAAAATGGTGCGTTATTTTTTAGAATATTGCCTGTTACCTGTGGTGGTGGGTATTTTTTGTTACTATATTCTGAAAGACTTCCTCAGCTCTCATTTACTGCTTTTGTAGCTTTAACTACCATTTGAATTTTAGTGACGAAAGATCACTGATACTCATTCTTTTTGAAGTTATTGTTGTTGTTATTAGTAATTAGTAATATTTACTTGTGACTGATTAGCATGGCTTTTTAAAGATCTAATTTGTTATTTTTATTGTCTCTGGGTGTGTCTGTGCATGTCAGTGTAGTGGCTGCAGAGAAAGGCCTCAGTTAGATCTCCTTGGAGCTGGAGTCCCAGGCAGTTGTGAGTGCCCAGCATGGGTGTTAGGACCTGGTCCTCTGTGAGAGCAGTGCATGCGTTATGCTCTTAATTGCTGACCCATCTCTCCAGCCCAGTATATTTGTTTTGAAACCAAGCTCTTATGGTTGCTCCCTTCCTCAAATATTTAAAAAGTAGAAGAAGCACCTCCTTCCCCATTAGATCAACACCCTCTTTTGGCTTCTCTGGGCACCAGGCACACATGGTACATTAAGTACATGTAGCCAAAGCACCCATACACATTTTAAAACAAAAACAACACTCTTTTAGTTGTGATAGAAGAAACTAGTACTCTTAATAATTTGATTTTCTAGATTTCAGTTTCTTCATTTATAAATAAACATGGGCCTCACCTAAAGAGATAACCTCTGTGTTTCTGCCAGCTAATTTGTTTTGAACTTAATACTGGAATGCTTACTTTTCTTTTTTTTTTTTTTTGAGATAAGGTCAAAGTCTAGGTCTCCCTATATATGTAGCCTTGGCTGGCCAGGCTAGTTTTGAATTCAGAGATCTGCCTGCTTCTGCCTCCTGATTGTTGGGATTAAAGGTGTGTGCTATGGCCATCACAACTGGCCTTTTCTTTTCTTTTCTTTTTTTTTTTTTTTTTTTTTTTTTTTTTTTTGTTTCTTGGAGAGGGTCTTATTATGAAGCCCTAGGCTGGCCTGGCTAGAATCAAACTCTATGTGATACACTTGCCTTGTATCTTGAGTGCTGGGAATCACACATTTGCACTTTGAGATTTCAGACTGGACACATGGATTTGAGACTTTCTCATCTGAGTAATATAGATTGAGAGTTACTGAAATATATTATTAGATCAATAAAATAGAAATAGAGATTTTATTTTGAATTATTTTTAAGAATAATGATTAAGATGCTGAGCCAGCAAGATGGCAGTGCCTGACAACTTGAGTTCAATATCCATAACCCACATGGTGGAAGGAGAGAATTGGCTTTCATAGGTTGTCCTCTGACCTTTACATAAATGCTACGGCTTATGTACAACCTGTACCACCTCCACAGTAAATTAAATAAATGTAAACAAAATTTAAATAAGGGATTGGAAAGATGGCTCAGTGGTTAAGAGTGCTTACTGTTCTTTCAGAGGACTGGAGTTCTTTTTCTAGCACTCCCATCCATAATTCCAGCTTCAGGGTTTCCAGCATCTTTTAGGCTCTGAGAGCATCCACTGCATGTGTGCATACATAAGCACAGGCATTCACATACACATAAAGGAAAAAACTCTAGATGTAATTAAAATGGAGGTGAAAAATTGGCTCAGTAAAGAATTAAAATTGTCATTGCTATTTGTTTTCGTACTTACTGGTTCTTAATTACTTGGTTTAACTTCATATGGTATTCTTATTTGTGATTAATTGTTAAACTTATGATTATTTTAATACCAGGAGTTTGCAGTCCCTGACTATCGCTCTTCTCATATTGAAGTTAGTCAGGCATCACAGCTTTTACAGCAACAGCAGCAGCAGCTTCGAAGACGACCTTCCTTGCTTTCAGAATTTCACCCAGGTTCTGACAGGTAATGTGATTTCTTTTATGTTTCTACTTAAGATTAATTGAAATATAGAATTTGTTTATTAATTTAAAGTTTTCACTTACAAAGCTATCGTAGGTGTTTTAGTTGTGTTTTGAGTTTTTGTTTTGTTTTTGGAGATAGGGTTTCTCTGTGTAGCCCTGGCTGGCCTTGAACTCAGAGATTCACCTGTCTTTGCTTCCTGAATTCTGGGATTAAAGTTGTGTGCTGCCACCACCCAGCATGTTTTGAGCGCCTGCATTGGTTTTCTTTGCACTCTAGAGCCTCCTTTTCAGTCTCCCATGTGCTGTCAGATTACATGTCTTGACCATAACATCTGCTTTATATCTATTATTTTTTTAAATTTATTTATCTTTGTTCCATTAAGAAATTATATGTTCAGGTTTTTTTGATGGTTGTTTTTAAATGAGAATTTGTTTTACTTCATTTATATATATAAGTAAACGTGCAATGGTGCATTTGTGTAAGTCAAGACAATTTGGTGTCAAAGGTTAGTTTTCTTCTCTATGTTACGGATTTTGGGTTTTCACCCTTGGTGGCAGTCACCTTTATCTGCTGAACCATATCTCCAGCCCCATTTTTTGTTAGTGTTGAGACAGGATCTTAGTTGTAGTCTTGGCTAGCTTGGAACTTGCTATGTAGACCAGGTTGGCTTTAATTTCACAGAGATCTGCCTGCCTCTGCCTTCTGAGTGCCACCATGCTTGTTTCATTAATAAAGTTTATTCTTTGACAGTTATACGCTGTATTGGTCACTTCCTCTTCTTTCCTGTTTCTCATTTCTGTGGGCCCTCTCCTTCCTGCAAATCATGTTCCCCTATTTACTAGTTTTGCTTTGTTTTGTGTTTTAGAATTTTACTAGTGCCATCTGTGTGATTAAACACCAGAGCCTGGTGGGCTCTCTAGTGGATATGCAACTAGATACTTGTGTCCCCTTCCCCCTCATTTGTGGGTTGCTTTTATGGTAGGCCACCATGCATCCTTTCCTCCTCTATACCTGACTGTTAGGAGGACTCAGCTTTTGTGGACTCAGAGCCAGTATATGCTGTTGCTGTGACTTATGGTTGCCATGACCATGTCATACTTGGAAGATGGTATTTAACCCCTTTTCCCATCCTTTGGCTATTGCATTCTTTCCATCTTCTCTTCTACAGGGTTCTCCAAGACTTAAGAGGGTGATGTAAATTTCTAGTCTTTATCTGCACAGTTTGTGCAGTCATGGTTCTTTGTGTTTGCCTTTGTTCTCGTAAAGATTCTCTGTTTCAGCCTGTCTGTGGGTAAAACATAGATATTTAGGAGATGTTTTGCTGCAATATCAGCTCAGCTAAGTGGCCACTTCAGCTTCTCCTGAAGGGTCTAAGACCTTCTCAGTCATGGGTTTGAAACAGATACACATACAATATTAGGTGTGGAATTCCTCTAGTAGAACAAGTGCCAAATCCAGTTAGGAAACTCTTGGTGATGAGGCCAGGTCCACAGGCCAGGATCTAGGGATGGAAGGTTGAGGGAGATTAAGGTTCAGAGTGGCTGACAAATGCTACATAGTTTATTATAGGCAAAAGTATGTACCCTGGGTCCCAAGGACATTTTATACAGAGTCACACAAAAGTGACTTCTCTCCAGAACTGGTTACATAATGAGTTGTATAACGGTCACCTTTATTGCTTACTCATGGTTCTTTGAACATACTATAGTAGTGGCCATTTGAACTAAGTAATTTCTAATGTCCATAGCAATGCCATGTTATATAAACTTTTGTCTGGCTGTTGGGCCTTTATTTCCTTAGTTGTTATCCTTGTAACACAGCACATCTTGCTTGACATGTTGATATTATAATTTGTAGGTTTAGAAGTTGGGTTAGTCTATCCAGTGTCTTCACCAGTTTGCCTACATTGCACCATCTGGTACCATGAGGGCTCTAGCAGAGGGCCAGCTAGCAGAGACAAATCAGTCCCGTTTCAACTTAATTTCCATCTTGTATCCAAAGTTTATTGTGTCTGCAGAAGTAGGGTCATACCAGCTAGATCTGGTGGGTAGCCAAGACAAATGACAAGAGCCTGTTTTGTTTTGGTGGCCTCTGGAGCCTCCCTGGCCAACTCCCACAATGGGGTCCCACATTTGCTACTGGAGTTTTTGTTTAGTGACCCTTCTTGGACCTGCATCGTCTAGTCTTAGGGCTATGCCTTTACACTCTCTTTTGTTTTCTTAGGTAACCATGTGTGACTTAGTTATGGTTTCTATTGCTGTGAAGAGACACCATGACCATGGCAACTCCTATGAGAATAACATTTAATTGGAATTGGCTTACAGTTCAGAGGTTTAGTCCATTACCCTCATGGCAAGAAGCATGGCAGCACACAGGTAGACAGGGTGCTGGAGAAGGAACTGGGAGTTCTCCATCCAAATCTGTAGGCAGCAGGAAGAGAAAGAGCCTGGGCTTGGCTCAAGCATCTAAAATTCTAAAGCCTGCTTCCAGTAACACAATTCCTCCAGTAAGGCCTCACCTACTCCCAACAAGGACACACATCTTAATAGTGCCATTTCCTCTGAACCTCTAGGGGCCATTTTTATTCAAATGACTACACTGTGGTTTTTTTCCATACCCTTTCTATTTTGTTTGACTCTCTTCCTTTTCCCCATTCCTTTGCCTCTTTCATCCACATCCCTCTCTTTGTTGATATTTTCCACTCCCAACACTCCACCTCCCCAGTTTAGCCTATATGATACTGTCTTGCCTTCCATGACTTCCACACCACTGTTCTTTTTCTGATTTCTTAGGTTCCTGAGTACTCCAGATAAACATGCAAAACTAAAGAGTCAGGACCAGGGTTCATATACAAGAGAAAACGTGATGTTTGTCTTTCTGAGTCTCAGTTACCTCACTCAGTATAATTTCCTGTTCCATTCATTTTCCTGCAAGTTTTATACTTTGATTTTTCTTTATAGTTGCATAAATTTTGTTATCCACTCATCACATGATAGACATTTGGTTGGCTCCATCTTTCTAATTGTTGTGAATAGAGGTTCAGTGAATAGGGATGTGGAGATGTCTTGTAGAATTAGACACTCTAGGGTTTATGCCCAGGAGTGCTATAGCTGGGTCATGTGGTAGGTCTATATCTACTCTGTTGAGGAATCTCTAGGCTGATTTTCAAAGACAGTGCATATGTTGTGCCCGAATCAAGATACCCCAAAAGACCACCGCCAGGAGCCAAGTCCACAAACCACATGAGGATCTTTTTATCATCAATCATTACAAGCTGCAGCTTGGGCTCACAACACCCACCGCTGAAACAGTGAGAGCCAAGAGCCCTGTGCTCAGGTTAGTTGGGGGATTTAAAAATTCTGGTTTCTCCCATCATGCCCAATGCAGGGGCGATTCCCGCCTGGCAAGCATCTATTGGTCAAAATGCTGCATTTTGAATTGATTGGCTATAGGAAGGTCTTCAAACCATTAATGATTTGGTGTCCCTCCCTAGGGGGATGGGACAGTTTCATAGCAACTGTATCCCTAGTGAGTGGGGAAGGCGGGTTCTTCCCCTCAGGGCATTGCTGGACTTCACCCAGCTAGTTCAGGCCTTAAACTTTAATAATATCCACTGATTTTTAATCTTTTGGTCTCTCACATAAGTTTATACCCAGAATATAGAGTGTTCTTTAAATTTTAAATTAAATTCATTTTTATATGTGTGTGTGTGTGTGTATGTGTGTGTTTATGATAAAACCATTTTATTCAGAGGCGTGAGGGCTGAGGAGGCTAGGGGAGTCTCTAATGTCCTTAGTAGGTCAGATCTCCCCGGTCTTTTCACCTCTAACCACCATTTTCACTCTTAAAGTTGTTGGTTTCAAAATAAATTTTATTAGGGGCCTAGAGATATCTCTTAGTGGTACAGCACTTGCCAGAGACACTTGAGATCTCAATTTCTGTCTCCAGCACAGGAAAAAAACAAAACAAAACATTGTATATATTTAAGTATGTAAAGGACGTTACAAAAAAACAGATGTAGATAATACAAAGGACATTCACTAGAACAAATTAACATACCCATTCTCTCTCTTTGGTGGTGGCAAGAAGCTATTCTTGTACCATTTAGCAAGAATCCCAAATGCTGGAGAGATGGCGCAGAGATTTAAGAATATTCCTTGCTGTTGCAGAGAATTCTGGTTTAATTCTGTGTTTAAGTATGTGTCTGGCTTATTTCAATTAATCTAATGTCTTCTAGGCACATCAATATTGTAATTAAAGGAAGATCTCATTTTTTTTTAAAGACCTGAGTATTTTTCGTGTGTGTGTTTATACATACCATGCAGTTTATTTGTCCAGAAACAAATACTTAAAAGTTATTTTGTCTTGGCTGTTGATACTGCAATGAACAAGTACAAATATCTTTATTTCTAGAAATTGTCATATTTTGTTTTATAGTTTGTTTGGATTTGCAATGCCCAAAGAGTCCAGAAGAGGACACTGTATCTCCTAGGGCTGTAGTTACAGATAATTATAAACTATCATGTGGTGCTAGAAATCAAACTTGTTCTTTTGGAAGAACAGCCAGTGCTCTTTACCACAGAACCATCCCTTTAGCCCAGTAATAGGGTGCTGATGGGATGTAGTATCTCATTGCAATTTTGATTTGCATTTTCCTATTAACAGTATGCTATTTCACATACTTCTTGGTGGTCTTATTTTTTTATTGTTTAGAAAAATATGTAGCCAGGACTTGTGCTTCTTTTGAAATTGTGATTTGTGTGTGTTTGTGTCTGTGTGAAAGTAGTATATGAAGGCTAGAGGTAGATTTCACATGTTTTCTGTATTTGCTTCCTTTCCCTGCCCTCAGGCAGACTGTGAGTAGGTTTTGATGATATAACAGGTACACAAGTTACCAAAGCATACAACTTGGTTGGTGAAGCCTCATCCTCATTATTTTCTTGACAAATGTACATATATACAATATAGACTATTCCTTATTCCCTTGTGGAGCCTGTCATCGTTACTTGCATCTGGAGTCCCTTCTCCTTCATGGCAGATTTATGGATTTCTTTGAATGCCTGAGGGGCAAACTTCTTGACGTCCGCTTAAAGTCATGTGATTCTGAATGTAATGGTGCATTCTCAGATCACCAACTTTTTGATGCCAGAATAGCTTTTTTCATTCTACTCTTCTTTGCTGGTCCCAAGTTGAAACCCTGCCTGCTTTAGTGTTTGAGATGGGTTCTCTCACTGAAACAGCAATTCCAGTAGTCAGTTCATTTCCTATCTTCATACATGGGTCCTTATGCTTGTGTGGCAGCTGTAAGTGACTGAGCCATTTTCTTAGCCTCAGGTGATTAATTTTTCTTTTGTGTTTTTGAATTATTTATAAAATTTGGATATCAGATATGATTGCAAATTTTTTTAGTTTACTGTTTCACTTTATTGATTTGATGTGTAGAAACTTTTGGGCTTGATATAATCCCAATTATTTATTATTGCATTAGTGGCCTGAGATTTATTATGTTAGCCAAAAATAAAAAATAAAAAAATAAACCACTGCCAAGGCCAATGCGTGCCATAGTTTTCCCTGTCTGGCCTCATATTTAATATTTTTCATTTCAGTTGATTTTTGTGTTTTGTATGTCTAATTTCATTCTTTCCCGAGCATAATGTGTTGAAAAACTTTTTTTCCCTGTCATGATCTCTTGCTACTCTTGTAAAAGATTGGCTTACTATACATGTTTGGATTTGTTTTTGGGCGTTCCATTCCCTCTGCTAGTCTAAAAAGTTTTAGGTCATGTTTTGTTTTGAAGCATATATGGGCGTTTTGCCTGCATGTTTGTTTGTGCAAACATATGGTACCTATGGAGGCCAGAAGAGGACCTTGGGTTGTCTAGAACTGGAGTTATATGTGGCTGTACATTGCCATTGGGTGCTGGGAATCAAACTTGTATCCTTTGAAAGACCAGCCTATGCTTTTAACTACTAAAATGTTTCTTCAGCCCCTCAACATCATGTTTTTTATTATTTAAATCAAGAAGTATGGTGTCTTTCACAATTGTTTTGACATTTGGGACATTTTATGTATGTACATGGAATATTTTTACTATGGATAGTATTGTGTGTATATATTGCTTTAGGCCAGTGGTTCTGAGCGTATGGGTTGTGACCCCTTTAGTGAACCTCTGTCTTCAAAAAGATTTATATTATGATTTATAACAATAGCAAAATTACAGTTATGAAGTAGAAATGAAAATAATTTTATGGTTGTGGTTACTGCAACGGTCTTAAAGGGTCACAGCATTAGGAAGGTTGAGAACCACTGCTTTAGGTAATTTGAACATTTAAAAAATGTTCTACTGATTGTCCAGTGAAATGGCCCAGTGGGTAATAGTGCATGCTGCCAAGCCAGATGGCCTGGGTTGGATGCTCAGAACCCACATGATAGAGGGAGAGAACTGACTCCAGAGGCTGTCCTCAGACCCACATGATAGAGGGAGAGAACTGACTCCAGAGGCTGTCCTCAGACCCACATGATAGAGGGAGAGAACTGACTCCAGAGGCTGTCCTCAGACCCACATGTGCACAGGGATATACATGTGCCCTGGCACGCGTGCACATGCACTAAGTAAATAAATATAATTAAATCAATTCTAGTCCATCAACATGGGGGTTAGCTTTCTCTTTTGTGTTAATTTTTTTTAATCATTGAGCAAATACATAAACACACTTAAAAAGAAAAAGGACTAAAATCTTGTATTAAGAAAAAGTGTACATTTGAAAAGCTTCAGGGAAGGAATTAGAAGAATCTTGAATGACTTGACCTCCCATTTCCTGTCTTTACTCCAAAAGAAATAGTGTTGATAAGAAAAGGAAATAATTTAAATCCTCAGATTTAAACAGGGTAATGGGAAATGATTTGTTGATAATTTCCATTCTGCCACCTGGTTTCCCAGCAGCTTCCTGAACAGCACTCATGATATGTCAGTTTGTGAGGTGTTTACATGTCTGCCACAGTGGACTAGGAGTCTCAACAAAGGGTATTAGAACAAGATTGATTTTTCTCTTCTTTTTCCCTTGTGCTGTGGAAAATATTTAGGAAGCCATGCCCATCACAACTTCTAGCCCAGAGCAGGCAAGCACTAGACATTCAACAAGACAGTGGCAAGGAGAACTCCCTGGACAATTTTCACACCAAAGAAAAGGTCTGAAGTAAGGCTGCAGAGTGCTCTGTGCAAAAGAAAAGAGAGGGCACAATTCTGAATATATTATTAAAATTCAAGGATGAGTAAATGATTAGGAGGAATTCAGACAGCAATACAGGTCTCTTTCAGGGTAGAATAGTGTCTGTTTCTAAACTTGAATAGAGCTCAATCTAGTGACAAGAGATAATGAAACAATAGCTTAAAGTTTTGAGAAGAAGAAGCTAGATGATTGTGGCACATGCCTTTACTTTAATCCCAGCGCTCAGAGGCAAAGGCAGGCAGATCTCTGAGTTTGAGACCAGCTTGGTCGACAAAATGAGTTTCAGGGCAGACACAGAGAAACCCTGTTTTGAAAAAACAAAAACAAAAAAGCCAAAAAGTTCCAAGAAAAAGAAGTTGAGATTCAAGAATATTATACCAGACAAGATTAATCCATAAAGCAACAGGCAGATACGTTTAGATAGGAAAGCACTGAGCATCTAAAGCTTAGAGAATTTGTAGGCAATGGAATCAGCTAAACAAAGAACGAAAGCCTATGTTAAGGACTGGTAGGTATAAACTTGTGTAATTTCTTTTTTTTTGGGGGGGGGTTGGTTTTTGTTTCTGTTTTTTTCATCCAGGGCTGTGTAATTGAGCCCTGGCTATCCTGGATGCCCTTTGCGAACTAGGCTGGCCTGGGGGCTCACAGACATCCGCCTCTGCCTCCCAAGTGCTGGGATTAAAGGCGTGCCCCAGCATGCCCTGCCACCTATGTATATTAAAGGCATGTGCCGCCACCATTGCGTTCTTTGAAAATGTACATGTATGCAGTGTATGTGGTCACATTCGACCTCCATCCTCCTCAGCTCCCGTCAGCACAGTTCTCTCCCCATTTTATTTCCTCCTCTTTCTCCTCTTGTTCCCCCTCCCCAATAACCCACTAAATCCCATAAGTGTTGCCTCTGTGTAGACCAGTGGGGAGTCATTACAAGGGCTTGGGCATCCCTCTTAAAGAAAAGTGGCTACACCCTGTCTGCAACCACTAACTGCTCTTTAGCCATGCTGGATCATCAGGAGCTTTTCCCCTCTCCAAGCTTGGAGTTTTGCGTGGCTGGATCTTTTGTGGGTAACCACAGCTGCTGTGAGTTCCTAAGTATGACAGCTGTGTCAGTTCCAGAGGCTAGCATTTCACAGCACTTCTCCTTAATTTGCTGGCTCTTCAATTATTTTTTTCTACTGTATGGGTGCTTTGCCTGCATGTGTACGTGTGTTACCACATCTATGTCTGGTGCTCAGTAGGGTAGAAGAGAGTTTTGGATCCTCTGGAACTGGAGTTACAGATAGATAGTTGTGAGTACCATGTATGTGGGTGCTGGGAATTGAACCAGGGTCCTCTAGGAGACCCACTCTCAACCACTGAACTTTCTTTCTAGCCCTAAGTCTTAAATAAATACTTTCTGTCTCCTCTGCTGTAATGGTCCCTGAGCTTTGGAGGGTTTATGTAATATATATGTTAATCCATAGCTGCACACTTATAGTAGCCTGTTAGCACTTTGAAGAGTTATGAGTTTCTGCATTATACACCACTCTCTACAATAAACCTTTCTGACCAAAGAGCAGTTTAAATCTCATGGAACCAAGAACTTGGGGCCAGCTGTGACTCATTCATAAATTACTTAGCAGAAGGGGAATCACTTGGTTACTTTAGCTTTGGATATTCATGCTCTTATTGCTTTTTTTTTTTTTTTTTTTTTTTTTTTTTTTTTTTTTTTTTTTTTTTTAATCCTTTTTTCCCCCTTTTGATTTTTCAACACAGCGTTGTTTCTGTCTAGCCTGGCTGTCCTAGAACTAGCTCTGTAGACCAGGCTGGCCTTGAACTCACAGAAATCTGCCTGCCTCTGCAATGGTTTAATGCGTCACTTAACAGTTTTCAAGTTTTTTTGATTTGTCTTTTTTTTCTCCTTTGGTATGTATTAGGCCTCAAGAAAGAAGAACTGGATATGAACAGTTTCACTCAGGCCCCTCACCTGTGGATCATGATTCCTTGGAGTCCAAGCGACCACGCCTGGAGCCAGTTTCTGATGCCCATTTCCAGCGTGTTAGTGCTGCAGTTTTACCTTTAGTTCATACGCTGCCAGAAGGGTTGAGGTCGTCTGCAGATGCTAAGAAGGTAAATGTTTGTTTCCTTGCTCTGTGGAGCTTAGGTCTATAATGTTAATGTAACTATATTTCAGGAAGAGTAGTGCCTAAAAGAAAAGCTCACATTACAGCAGTCTCTAAAGGTTAATGCTATGGAAGTAAAAATGTTAAGCAAAACTACAAACCACAGACTAAGTGCTCCAGATTTCAAAGTTGGTACATTTGGTAAGTGAAAACAATTTGAAGAGTTCAGTAAAGAAACCTCTGTTTACTAATTTTCATGCATTTTGTGCTGCTTTGCTGTACTGTAAAACATGGTCAGAGGTACTGAAGACTTGATTTTGTCACATTTATCTTATTTGTGTGGGGCCAGGGAGGGCTTATGCACGATGGCATGCATGTGGGGGACAGACGACAACTTTCGGGAGACAGTTCTCTGCTTCATCTGACACTTCACTATATAGATCAAGCTGATTCACCAGAAACCCTGTTGCCTCTGAATTCCCAGTATTCCACTGTACTGGAAAGTTTTGTCAAAATTTAAAAATACTTTTGAAGTTATTAATGTAGGATAGTACATCGGGTAAAGTTTTATCCAAGGTTTAATGATTTATAATTTTTATACAGAGAAAATGGTGTTAGAGTTATATAACTATTACCACCTAAGCTTTGGGTTCAGTTCCCCAGCAATGTATACATCAGGCATAGTGGTATGCATACTTATCCTTGACATGTCTGGGATACATGAGACCCTGTTTTTTGTTGTTAATTTTTAAAGAAAAGGAAAAAAAGAGATCACAAAGGACAAAATGTTCTGTAATTTACAACTGTGGATGACAACCTTCTCTTCTTAGTTGTTAACTGAAGCTGATTGTAGTTGTAGTTCTAGTGTGGCACCCAGTGTATATTGTGGAATGAATAAATCAAATAATTGACATATGCATTGCTTTCTTCTTCTTCTTCTTCTTCTTCTTCTTCTTCTTCTTCTTCTTCTTCTTCTTCTTCTTCTTCTTCTTCTTCTTCTTCCTCTTTTTCCTCTTCCTCTTCTTCTTCCTCTTCCTCTTCTTCTTCTTCCTCTTCTTCTTCTTCCTCTTCCTCTTTTTCCTCTTCCTCTTCTTCTTCCTCTTCCTCCTCTTCTTCTTCCTGTTCTTCTTCCTCCTCCTCCTCCTCCTCCTCCTCCTCCTCCTCCTCCTCCTCCTCCTCTTCTTCTTCTTCTTTTCTTCTGGGTTTCTCTGTGTAGCCCTGCCTGTTTTGAGCTCACCTTGTAGACCAGGCTGGCATGGAACTCACAGAGATCCTCCTGCCTTGGCATTAATGCTCTTAGCATTAAAGGTGTGCGCAACCCTGTCCGGCATAGTCCAGCATATCCATTGCTTTATCAACTTAGAATTAATTTTGTGTCATGAACACTTAAAATATTAGCAACTTTTGCTGGGCATGGTGGCTCATGCCTGTAATCCTGGCACTCAAGGAGGGAGAAGCAGGTGAATTTCTGTGAGTTTGAGGCTAGGCTGGTCTACAAAGTGAGTTCAGGACAGCCAAGACTACACAGAGAAACCCAATCTCAAATCATACACACACACAAAAAAAAGCAAAATCTTAGCAACTTTATTAATTATAATGAAATCACCATTACTTAACTGCTTTAAATATTAAATGTGTTTATGACATTTTGAATAATGCATTAACTTAACCACAGTTTTTTTGAGATCAAATAATTCTTTTCTTGTGTTTATTATCTTTTGTGAATGTGTGTTTCTCTTATGACCTTGTTATATTGCTGTGTTTATAGTTTTTATTATCTGTTTTATATCTCATTAAATCTGTACATTAGCAGATGTTTAGCATGAGTGGATATTTATTTTAGAATAAACAATTTAAGAAACTTTTCAATAGTTCGGCATTAGCCTTTTTTTTCTTTTTTCTTTTTTTTTTTGAGGACCTTACTGAGCTACATTTCTACCCTTATAATCTTTTTTACTAAAATATATTAATGGTTTCTCAATATCATTTGTCTTTAAAATTTTTAAATTATTTATTTTTATTTTATGAACATTGGTCTTTTGACTGTACATATATCTGAATGAGGGTGTCAGATCCTCTGGAACTGGAGTTACAGATAGTTGTGAGCTGCCATGTGGGTGCTGGGAATTGAACCTGGGTCCTCTGGAAGAGCTTCCACTGCTCTTAACTGCTGAACCATCTCTCCAGCCTCTGCATTAATTCTTATTTCGCGTGTGTGTGCATTTGTGTGTGTCTCGTCTTTTGTAATAAGTGCTGTTACCTGCTGAGTCATCTCTCTGGCCTTGTCTTCATTTCTGTTACTTACTATGCTAGTCCAGGCTGCTCTGTTGTAGTAATCCTCCTGCCTTTGCCTCCAATGTGCAAGGATTATAGATTTACGCCACCACTTTCTGTTACTTGTTTATTTTTGCACAAAGAAGTAAATCGTGGTTGAATGCTTGATGTTCAAGTTTTTCTTGGGGTATGTTGGTCTTTTGGTTTTATAATTGTCAGTGCTGCAAATGCTGATTTGTACAAATGTCAAAAGGATGGTTAGGGCCATTTCAAAAGTTGTTGGAAATTCTGAATTAATCCCAAGTCAGAATTTGTTTAGTGATCCTTCTTTTCTAAGACAAGATCTTATAGTTCAGGCTGGCCTCAGATTTGGTATCAGGGAAGACTGGCCTTGAACTCCTAATCCTCCCACTGTAATTTCCCCAGTGCTAGGATTAGGGGCATGAGCCATCAGTTAATGATTTCTTCTGAAACTCAAGTCAGCAACTCAGCCTGTAATATCTAAAACCAAACATTGCAGCACAATCTAAAGATATATTAATTTGACACATGTCAAGTAATGATAGGATGGAAATATTTAGTTTTTATTTCATAATTAAACCATTTTGTTTCTATATGATCAGAAAACTGAGTATAGTAAAAAACGTTGTAACTTACACAGTAGCTTTTTAAAAAGTACGTGTATGTAGTGTGTGCATGCATGTATATGTTTTTGCATGTGTGACTGTTTGTACATGAGTGTGCATGTGATGTGAAGGCCATAAGCTGTTGTTGGGTGCCCTTCTTGAGAGCTCTTCACTTTACTTGTGGAGGTGGGATCTCTGACTAACTCACCCGTTCAGCTAGTCTACCCAGCCCATTTGCCCTGGCAAATCCTGTTGCTTTCTTTCTCAACATTGTGGTTTTAGGTAGGCTACATGTGTGCTGGCAATCTGAATTTTTGTCGTCACTTTTGCATAGCAAATGTTTTGCCCATTGAGCCATCTGTTAGCCTTAGCACATAGTAGTGCTCACCCAGGGTGCTTCGAGCAGTGTGTTTTTCTAGGATGGCCTCGGGAGTACAGAGTGCACATGTATGTTCATAAGCCAGCTGGAGTAAAGCTGGGAGGTGCAGTATGGCAAGTACTGCCAGAGAGCTTAGTTCATTATGCATTGGATTAATTCTTAGTTACTGCTCATTCAGCAGCTTTCATTAGTAACACATTTTTCATGATTCTCCATTTAATTACACAACCCCATGGGGTCATGACCCTTGCATACTTTGAGTTTTTATATTTAAAAAATTATTTTAAAAGTCAGGAAATATATGTATAGTTTTTTGATCTACCACAGTGTGTGGAATATTAGTGTTACAGTGTTTGGGGTTTACAAGAACAACTTTAAAAGGAACAAAATTTAAATATAGCATCTTTTGACACTGAGTAAATTATTCCATATATAACTTATAGCTATAGAAAGGGGACTCATTTATTCATTTCATTCAACTCATTATTTAAAATATGGTATGCTAATCATTGTGTATGAGTTAATTCTATTTTATAGTTGAGAAAACATGCTAGTATAAACTTCAGTAATCTTAGGTCATGTCTTCTGAGTTGGAATGAAAGTGAAGGATCCCTAACTTCTTCCTGTACTTCATGGTTCATTTACCCTGTTCTCCTCTTTCCTTTGTATTTTTACTTTCTTTGTAATTTTTAAAATAAACTCAAAGACTATAATTAAAAATGTGGAGACATAATACAGATATATATGTCCCTTTTCCACAAAAAGGAAAAGTAATTTTTTTTAGTTTTTTTAAACAGGGTTTCTCTGTGTAGCCATGACTGTTCTGGACGCACTTTGTTAGACCAGGCTGGCATCGAGCAATCTGCCTGCCTCTGCCTCCCTGAGTGCTGGGATTAGAGGCGAGCAGCACCATGTCTGGGCTTAGAAATGTAATTCTTATTTTAAGTAGCAGGCAGGCTGTTCTAATACAAGGATGTAAGCTGATCACTGTCTACTGAACATACACTCTGTTAACTGAGTTATAGCCTTAGGACCCAGAAAAAATTTTGATACAAACTCTTTGACTTAGTAATGGTAATGTGGGCAGACAGACACACACACAATCTTACCAGAAGAATAATATATCTAAAGTATAAAAGTAGTATAAACATCTGTGTGTTTTGTTTTATATATATTTGCAAGTATGTGTGGCTGTGAAAACTGATTACTATTAGAGAAATAGCACACTGCTGTTGAAGGGCAGGGATGGTGTCTGTTTATGTCACAGGAGTGGTAGTTGACATATTCCTTGCTATCACTGTAACCAGTAAAGGCTGTTTGTATGCTGGGAGAGACAGAGACAGACTCAGCTGTGTTTTTAAGTTTGTGTTTTCTGTTAAGACACTCTTAATTTTAACATTGGCTGTTAGTGAGAAACGAATTGTTTATGATTTTTCTTCTAAAGGATTCAGCATTTGGAGGCAAACATGAAGCTCCATCCTCTCCACTGGCTGGGCAACCATGTGGAGATGATCAAAATGCTTCACCTTCAAAGCTTTCAAAGGAGGAGTTAATACAGAGTATGGATCGGGTAGACCGAGAGATTGCAAAAGTAGAGCAGCAGATCCTTAAACTGAAAAAGAAGCAAGTAAGTGCTGTACTCCCTGCTTACTGTAGTCTATGTTCTAGAAAAGCAACCATGCCTTTTTTATATGCCCTATGTTCTGTTCCTCTGCGTTGCTGTTTGTTTCTTCAGTTTCATTCCTTTTTTTCCTGCTATACTATACTAGATGGCAGTGGTTCTCAACTTTTGTAATGCTGCGACCCTTTCATACAGTTCCTCTTGTTGTAGTGACTCCAACCATAAAATTATTTTTGCTACCACTGTATTAACTGTATTTTGCTATGTTATAAATGGTAATGTAAATACCTGGGTTTCTGATGGCCTTAGGCCACCCTGTCAAAGGGTTTTTTGATGCTCAAAGTGCTTGTGATCTGTAGATTGAGAACCACTGCTGTATGATGTTTGTGTGTTTTAGATGATTATTAAGGTTGCTAAAATGGTGATTTTATATTCCCACTGGCAGCACATAGGCTTACCAGTTTGTGTATATTCTTTTCTTTACATGATAGGTTTTCTTATTTTGGATGTTTTTACTGGGGTTTTAATTAATTTGCATGATTTTGACTAGGAATGAGACTGAGCGTATTTTCATGCTATGGTTTACCATATTCTTTATGTATAGATCAATTGTTTTATTTGAGGAGGTTGTTCGACTTTTTTTGTTTCTGTTTTTGATTTAAGTTTTCATTGATTATGTTGCCTAGGTTGACAATAAATTTTGTTAGGTTAATACTAAACTTGAAAGGTTCACATGATCCCCCTGCTTCATTTCCTGTGTAGTTGGGACTGTAGATGCATTCTATCAAAACTGGATCAGTGAAGCACCTTTTGAAATTGAGATGTAATTCACAACATTCTTTCAAAGTGTGCAATTAAATACTTGTAATATATTCATAAAATTTTGCAGGTTATCACCACTGTAAAATTAGAGCATTTTTGTCTCTTCTAAAAGAAACCAGAGTTCATTTTTAGTCCCTGTTTCTGCCACTTCTTGTCTCCTGGAATTCACTTGTCTGTTCCCATTTGTGTGAATTACCCCATTTAGTTAGGTAGAATCCTGTGACATATTTTCAAGAATTGCCTATGGTGTATTTGTATCAACATTTAAAAATTGTTATCTACTAAATTGATTCTATTGTAGAGCCATACCTTATTTTATTAATCTATTCATTAATTGATAGGTATTTGGGTTGCATCTATCTTTTTTAAAGGTTTATTTTTTATTTATTTATATGCGTGTGGGTGCCCTCAGAGGCCAGAAAAAGTGTCAGATTTGTTGGGGGCCAGAGTTAGAGGTGGTTATGGACTTTCTCACTGGATGATAGGAACCAGACTCGGGTCCTGTAGAGAAATTATCTATCCAGCCCCATATGTATTTACATTTTGTTTTTATTTTAAACTTCATTATTTAAAAAAAGTAAATAAGAAACAAAAACTGCAATTAGCCAGTTTTCTCCATGGCAAACCACCCCCACCCCCCACCCCACCCCCGCCCATGGCTCCTTTTTCATTTTCAAATTATGCTGTCGTAGACTTGTTGGGTCATGTGGCAAAATCATGTTTAAGAATTGTAGGAACCGTGCAACTGCTTGTTACTTATGAGGGTTTTACTTGTTCTATTTCTTTGCCAGCATTAGATGTCTCCCCTGTTTTCACCCTCTCCTCTCCCTATATGACGTAGGTGATAGAAGGGTTCTCTTGTGTGGCACAGCCTGGCATTGAACTCTTATTCTCCTCCCTCAGAGTATAGAGTGCTATTGTATTGAGATTACAGGAATGCAACACCACATCTAACTTTTATTTTTTTAAATTGTCAATTTAGTAGATATGAATTAGTGTCATGCTGTGATTTTGTCTTGCATTTTCTTAATAATATGCTCCTTAATAATAATATTGAGTGTCTTTGCATGTGCTTAATGGATATTTATGCATATTTTTGGATAAATGTCTATTCATATTTTTTCTTTTGTTTTAAGAATTTTGTTATTTGTATGTGTGTGCTTACAGTCAGTGTATACATGCAGTTTTCTTGTCCATGTATGCACGTGTAAACCAGAGGTGTTTTCCTCTATTATCTCCACCTTATTTTTTTTAAGATTTATTTATTTTTATTTTATACTTGTGGCATTAAAAAAATCATTATTTTATGTGTGTGAGTGTTCTGCTTGTATTTATTTCTGTCTGTACCATGTGCATAGCTAGTTACTGTGGAGGCCAGAAGAGGGGATCAGATTCCTGTAATTGGAGTCATGGGTTATTGTGAGCTGGGTCTTTCAGAAGAACAGCAGATGGTCTTAAGTACTGAGGCACTTCCACAGTCCTTCCTTTTATTTTTTTTGAAAAAGGGTTTCTTTTTTTCCTGTTCTTTCTTTCTTTCTTTCTTTCTTTCTTTCTTTCTTTCTTTCTTTCTTTCTTCTCTTTCTTCTCTTTCTTCTCTTTCTTTTTCTTCTCTCTCTGTTTTTCTCTCTTTCTTTCTTTCCTTTTTTAAAAGGAATTTTAAAGAACCAGTTTGGGAAGACTTTTTTGCCAATGAGCTTCTGGTATCTGTACCACCTCCCAGCCCAACCCCAGCAGCACATTGATTATAGGAAGATGCTGGTTTTATGTGGGTTATGATGATCTAATCTCGAGTTTCATGCTTTTACAGCTAGTACTTTATCTGTAAGCATCTCCCCGTTTAATCTATGTAAGTTTTTAAGACATATTGTGTGTAATATATTGTCATCATCTGTCTTGTACATATTTTCTCAATCTGTGTTTTGTCTTTTCTTTTTGTTAGTAAATATCCTTTGATATATCAAGGTTTTATAATTTTGTAGGTATAATTTATTTACTTTTAAAATCATTTGTAGTTTTGTTGTCTTAGCTAAGAACCTTTGCTTAATTGGAAATTACAAAATTTAGTATTTTTTTTCCTCCTATAAATTTTATTGTTTTAACACTTTAGTACTATTTTATGAACATGCTCCTGGTTTTTTGGGGGCGGTTACATATGAATAAGGCAATTTATGGTAATATCTTAAACTGTTTCTCTATTTAATTTTGTGGGCATTTATTTGTGTCTTTCTCAAAGTATAAATCAAAATTGTGTTTTTGTTTTATACATAATAAATTGAAAAGTTTGGGCTGAGTGTAGTCTTTGGAAGAAGAGCTGATGACACAGGTGAGGTGGGGTGGCAGTCGCAGTGCTCACCTTTAATTCCAGCACTTGGGAGGCAGAGGTTAATGGATCTTGGTGAGTTCAAGGCCAGCCTGGTCTACAGAGCTAGTCCCAGGACAGCCAGGACTACACTGAGAAATCCTGTCTTGAACCCCTTCACCTCTATACACACACACACACACACACACACACACACACACACACACACACACA